AGCAAAATAAAATAAGAAGGTACCTTACTTTTAACAGATTTTTGAGCTTATCGTCTTTTGATATTTTCTGTACATCAGACATGGTGTGCAATCTTCCCAACACTGATACCATCATGAAATATGCTAACATTGGCTACGTGTCAATTTTTTTCAGCACGTAAATACTGTTAGAAATATGTGAGATTGCTACTGTCCCTATGTACCCCGTGTCCCAATCGACCCCACCTTCCCTTACAGAAGGAAGATTTTTTAAAATCGTATTCTAAGGGGTAACTCGCGAAAGTAGAACCCTTTGGACTCAAATTTCACCCGTTTGGCTCTCTCACCGTTTAGGCGCTAGAGAGTGTTTTTCAACAAAAGCCCGCGCTAACGTGGAAGCAGATGATACGGTATTATCTTTTGATGAATTTACGTTTCAGTTTTTAACATGTAAAAAATACTGCTGGTTGGTGGCCATAGTGCCAAAGGGTGATGGCTCAGTATTGTTTACAATACTGGGTAGCCTGTCCGACGGAAAAAAAGTTTTCGAGGTTCGGACGCTAAATGATAGAGGACATTAAACGATGATTTCCTGTCGCTGTCCGAAGTCCGTGCGACAACGTTTAGGGGTCGCGACACTCGATTTTCAAAACGCCCCCGAGAGGGCGGGAAAATGGCTCACTTCCTGTTGGGCAGCCGGTGCGGGGCGCGCGCGGTAAGAGCGAACTGTCACAAACGCGACTCGTCGTAAGCGCGAATGCCGAAAGCGCGACCCGGCGCAAGCGCGAACGCCGCAAGAGCGAACGACCGCAAGCGCGAAGTGTCGGAAGCGCGACCCGCCACAAGAGCGAACCTCGCGAGGTGGAGCTTACGCGCAAGCGGCTTGCCACGGCTAGACGGGCGAGATCGACGCGTAGGTCGAGAGGGTCTTTCAGTCGTGTATGAGGGAAGAACTATGGCCGTTGATTATGTTCTGCTGCTGCTAAAGCGTGACCAGCCTTGACATCGGTTTGCTGTCTATGTTACGTGTACTTGTATTGGTAAAACGTTCATAACATGAATGTCCCTGTACAGTTCCTCGGAAACCCTCATACACGACTGCGAGACCCTCTCGACCTACGCCTCGATCTCGCCCGTCTCGCGGTGGCAATAGTTTTCCCAGCAAAAGACTAGTGCTGCTCAAAAGGGCTAATAGAGGTCCAATCCAATGGCTTCGCTTCGACTTCGGCACCTGTGGCTGGGGGATGGAGTAGGATAGCGAGTCGCGGTCGCGAGTCATGAGTCTCCTGTCGCGGGTGTCCTATTCCAAGTGATCGCGGGCCCGTTCGCGGGTGTCCTTTAGTGATCGCGGATCCTTTCGCGGGGGTTCGCGGTGTCCTTTCGCGAATTTCCTCGCGGACACAATCGCGAGGACTCGCGAGGACTGGTGAGATCCTGCGGGTGCCGAAGTCGTGCCGAAGTCGTGCCGAAGTCGTACCGAAGCTGACGGGGAGCCATTTGATCTCTATTAGCTCTATTGAGGTGCTCTATTCTTTTAATGGGAAGCCTAAAGCTGCTTGCCCGTAAGCGAGGGTCGCTCTTGTTGCGGGTCGCGCTTCCGACACCTCGCGCTTGCGGTCGTTCGCTCTTGCGGCGTTCGCGCTTGTGGCATTCGCTCTTACGACGGGTCGCGCTTGTGACAGTTCGCTCTTGTGCACGTCGCCGGCTGTCCGCGTTGCGCGCCACCGGAGGTGTCGATGAGGGCTTGAGCTGAGACCTTGGGGGTTCAACTTTACATCCGGCAAGTGCAATTGGTCACCACCCAAGGGGGTAATCACTACTACAACGCTTGTACAGAGTACTCGGTATTACACCGAATAACGTGGTATTACCGGGTATTACGCCGGCATTACACGAATTTTTTTGCCATTTTTTTTGCATATTTTGTTATTTTTTCGGTATTATATGACAATACGGCGTAATACCCACGTGGGTTGTACAGGGTATTACGGGAGTGAATATCCCCTCGTCACCACCGTCACCCCCTGGACGCCGAGGGCCTAAGCGTCTCGTTCCGCGTCACTTGCGCTCGGCGTTTGAAATCCGCAAAAGTTGCGATTTTTTCTTCGCAGGCTTAAAGGGCACCTGAAATCCTTTCGATAGCAGTATCGCCTGTCAAAATGCGAACCGGGAACCGGGGTAGAAAATCTAAAAAACACGCCTGAGGGGACCTCAGCCCGATTACTAGCCAACACCTGAAACACGCATGTAATGCGGATGCCAGTTGGCCCTCTTCAGGCGCCTTTAGGCGTTTTTTTTTTTTTTTTTTAGATTTTCAAAAACAGCTCAAGCTCTCATCGACACCTCCGGTGGCGCGCAGCGCGCACAGTGTGCCCAACAGGAAGTGAGCCATTTTCCCGCGCTCTCGGGGGCGTTTTGAAAATCGAGTGGCGCGACCCCTAAACGTTGTCGCACGGACTTCGGACAGCGACAGGAAATCATCGTTTAATGTCCTCTTTCATTTAGCGTCCGAAACTCGAAAACTTTTTTCCCGTCGGACAGGCTAGCCCGAGGGGTGGATGACTCCCCTGCCAAGTGTACACCCCTAATTCTGACCAATTCAAACTAATTCAGACCAATTCAATCCACTTCAATTCAAGCCAATTCACGCTTATTCAGTAACATAAAATCGCAATAATTCAAACCAATTCAGTCCAATTCAAATTCAATTCAACCTAATTCAAATTCAATTCTTGAAAATTGTACACCCAATTCAGGAGTTATCCACCCCTCGGGCTAGCCTTTGGCCCCAAAAGTCACAAACTGTGTTCCTTGGAGTACTATTTTGACGAGTTACCCCACCGGAGACCATCAAATATCTGAGAAAAAATATAAAAATATTTTGCGGCCATTTGCGTGTAGAAAACTCCCTCTGGTGCCTAAACGGTTGAAGATAGAGCCAAATGGACGAAATTTTTAGTCAAAGGCTTCTATTTTGATGGGTTACCAGTTAGGAAACAGTAAGAAAAATATCTTTAAAAACGTCATTTTGGGGACCTGTGGTTTTTGATTTTTTTTAAATCCAATTTCTTAGCTAGAATGCTCTTCTTCGTACTTGATCTGTCTTTTTATGACACAAAACGACCCTGAAAATCCCAGGTCGCTAGCTCAATCCGTTTTCGAGTTATCGTGATTACAGACAAACAGACACACAGACAGACAGACGCGAAACTTTTTGATCATCACTGGAGTAATGGGCTTCGCTAATCGCTCAGCCAATAAAATGTGCACTTCGCGATGTAAAAATAGATACTTTTAGTTATATGGGACATAATACAAAGTAGGAATAAACAAAAACTCAATAGGGTACTCCGCTAGAGCGCGGAGCGGAACTAAGAAGAACAAAAGCGGATATAGAGAGCGGGCGGTAGGCCGTTCCAAAAAAAAATCGAATTTTCACGGCCCCCACCAGATGATAGAACAAGTCATTGCGGTTACAACGAGCCCTACCACACCTTTCTGCGATACGCAAAACCATAGGCGCATCGCATTTATCGCGACGTGTCACTTTTCGCTCGTTTTGCGGGTACTTCGTTATCGGGCTTGCATTAGCGGGCCGTGTTGCCGGCGACGGCGACTCGGTGCGTGGTGACTACCTATGGTAAGTACTCACCATTGGTCAAGGTGCCACCCCACTTCACCACCCCCCTTGGTGCAGAGGGCGTAAGTACCCGAATCAGGGTTATGTCGGCCGGCTATGAGTACGGTTGATGGTAGCCGAATACCGACTGCGAGGAAATGTAGCGGAGCCATAGGCCTTTCGAACCATGCATAGCGTGCCCGTAACGATTTTCTGTTTTGTGACGAAAAAGCGATCAGAAGCGCCGGAGTGGCTTCCGATGCGCTCAAACGGAGCTGGCGGGAAGGCAGTATAGCCCGCTTGCCGCACGATGCGCGGTCTTCGACATCAACAGACAGATTCGTACGACTCTCTTGCGCACTGCGGTAGAGCGGTAATCCGGGACGACTTGTGCACATTGGTCGGTCTTGTTCAGCACCGTAGAGACGCCCGATCTTTGTTCTCTTCGTCCAGCTGCAACAGCGTGCAGCGCACCCTGCGGCAAGCACACTATACTGCCTTCCCGCCAGCTCCGTTTGAGCGCATCGGAAGCCACTCCGGCGCTTCTGGTCGCTTTTTCGGCGCAACACAGAAAATCGTTACGGGCACGCTTTGCATGGTTCGAAAGGCCTATGGCCCCACTACATTTCCCCGCAGTCGGTATTCGGCTACCAT